TTGGAACATGTTTGGTATCTGCAGAATGATACCTACGCCTCCACCATGTTGACTTCTGAACGGAATAATAGGTAGTAATAGCTAGGTAACAAGAGTTTCTATGTACTTACTCGTAATTCATGATTGCTAGAACGGTATAGATACCTAAACATTTTACTAAACATATCAAATCAATTTAGTTCTATTGATATAAACTGTACCTACACCTACCTACACTTGAAGATTTGAATATTGGTTTGAGTTGATAAATATAACTTAGATGCCTATCGATTTCTGAGTAAACGGATTTTGATTACATTTGTTGACATAATGTTTCTTCAATATTTGATGTGGTTTGCCTGAAAATGTGTTTAGATTTAGGTTAAGTTACTAGGTATTACAAGTGACTTGTTACAAAATATTGGTTACATCCATGACTAGAAACTTGTAGTTACGTTCAAAAATAACTAACTAGTTAGGTGAAAATAATGTTTTTATTTGGATATGTCATAGGTATGTTTCGTTAGGTAATTAACATATTTCAGGCGTCTTTTATCACACATCCAGATGAATGAATGATGACGATGATAATTTAACATCTTATAACTTAATGGATTATTTTCCCAATCATCACTGCCGACAGTTAAATTACAAATTGTTTCAAGACGATAGCCATTGAGCCGTCAAATAACGTCTTAAGTTGCTTGAAAGGACTGATTAAACGTCCATCATTTCACTCTGTTTGTTTCATATTAATTAATATAATCTTATCGCGAAGTCGTGAGACAGTACCATCAAACAAAACCAACTTATATTAGGTACTTTTATTTGACTGTCACTCCCAAGTGGGGCGCCTGATGGCAATATAGATCCTGGGTCCCTGTGACCCGGTCTCTCTTGCCATTTGACTTTGAAAAGGATCTTTTGTTAAGTGCCACGAGGCAAAGTTTACCTAAAATTGTGTCACTAGTCAACGATACAAAGAAACAACGTAAATTATACCGCTAAATTGACGGAAAATTAAGTAAGTATTTGAAGAAAATCGTTCCATTAATTACAGGACAATGAACAATTAAATTGAAGGCAGTCAGACGATATTTATAATAAATAGCTATTGCTAATGGGACCACTAAAGGGCTGTTCCTTTTGTTCAATAGAATAGCGTTGTACTTAGTCATCTAAAGGATCAATAGTAGTACTTACTCGCAGACTAAGGACATACAAGATTTACTGTAAGTTTCTACATTCATGTGATTAACAACACCAGGTCCCTAATACAAAAAGTTAAACACGCATTGAACACTACTTTCAATCGTCATTGTAGTATGTAAATGTCCTTTTTTTTAAACCGATTCAAATGTTTTGTTTTTCACAAACCCTTTTCCCAGGTAGGAACTCTAAGTACCTACTAGACATTATAAAGACAAAATTCTAAGTCTTACTCTAAGTTCCTATATGCGCTGCACGCGTCTCCCACAGATAAAATGCAAACCGTTTTCTCTCGTCTGCTGATAGGAAATTACTTGGGCGATTACTGCGGAGCTCACCCGAGGTTGCGGTTTTATGGAAATTCACGAACGATGTGTGGATAATAGTTTATGTAAAGTTTTCAATCAGGTCTTCGGTGTAAAGAAGCTGTTTGCATCGCGCTTTGTGTACTCTGTTAAAGAAATAAGCACTTATTTTAGTTTTTTTTTAAATATTTTTACTTACTTTGTAAAAGGTTACTCATGAATTTGTCATAATCAATTTTAAATCCTAATATGTTGCTGTAATGTTTATTTAACACTTAAAAAACTTACATGGACACAAATCGTAAATTTAAAAGAAAAAGGTTGTCCTAAGGGATTTTAGGGATTTAACATGCTTAGAGAGTCTATAAGCTAAAACTGGCTTTTATGACTGAATAGAAAGTTCAGTAAGTTATTCTGGGTTTGGGATTCAGTTAATGGCCGTCAATAAAACAGAATATGATAAATTCGGCTTGACGTCACCTTTTGGGAAAAAAATTCCAGGAATATTATGACAGTTTAATGGACAATCGACTCTCAAGATAATTATGATTGATTATTGTTTATTTTCCAAAAAGGCAGTTGGCCTGAATTATTACGCTTGACAGCACTTTCAATGTTATTTCTGTGGTTGACGAAACATTAATTACAATGTTATGAACTAAAAGTTTGATATTTAACAATCTGTCTTCCATAGTTCCTGATTAAGTTAAAGGGAGAATGAATTCATTACAAAGTTTAATTCAAAATGTCTGTGTTATTTACAACATTGGTGGGATCATTTAATTTGATTAGTTATCTTCCTAATAATGCTGCTACTCATAATATACTCAACATCAAATAAATCGCACCTTCCGCGACGCGAACTTCTGACACAATCATGGTGCCCCAACAATATTGGTGTTATTTGAAAGTCCAATAAATATCCTTAAAGAAAAACACATTTAATTTCTTAATAAATGATTAACATAATACCATAAATGTGACTTGAAAAAAGACCTCACTTTAGGCTCACCTCTGGGATCAATTAGACCAATTTTTATGGTTATAAAACCAAATAATGATCTCACGTGTCCTCTTTAACAGATGGTTAGCGATTAATCCCAACTTAAGAGCGTTTACGTTTACTAACCAGTTACATTACAAATATGTTATAGGCAAAAATAATTAGGCAATTTCGTCGTCTAAATAGTTAGTTGAGAAAATATTTCGATTAGTATAGTATTTAAGAATTCTATCAAGATAAGCCCACACAGGTTTTCAAATTTCCACTTTAGCGTCAGTTTACAAGCTGAATTTTTTATAAAAATACTGTGAAAACGATATAACAAACATTTATATCCTATAGCATAGGTCCTTAGGCAAATAGTTAGTGAAAATTTTTAGATTTAAGCATTTTACAATAAGAAATCACAAATTCAAAGAACGTGAAATACCCAAAAATCAAGGTGATTTTTACACCATTATTCTTCTTTAATTCAACATAAAAATAGCTTAATATAATAAAATAACACTTCTTTAAAATATTTACTTTGAAACGATGCACAAATTTATTGTTATTGTTTTGCTATAAACATTTGAAAACTATTAAAAAACGCCGCGCGCAAATCATTTCCAATGATGCCCCTTGAAATGCCGCGATTCGCGTAAACGTTCTTAACAGTTTTATACCCATAAAAGTTGGCTCAAGCGTACCTAACTACCTATTTTTTGAAGAAGTGATTCTAGATCTTTCTAAAGACACATTTTTGGGGTAAAAACCTTTCCTTTAGAGAAATGAAGTTTAGAACTAGTCTTTTAAATGGTGTCAATATTGGTGGGAAGTGGGGATGCATAACCTTACGTTTGAAAGTGCTTTTTGCGGGAGGTGCGATTTATTTGATGTCGAGTGTATATCCATTTGAGACTTACTTGACTTATGCCTGTTTTCACCATCAATTCCTAATTTTTAAGTGACCCCTATGGTAACACGTAACAGGAATTTTGTTTTCATAGGGGTCACTTAAAAATTAGGGATTGATGGTGAATACGGGCATTAAGGTCCTATGTTCCCTAGATGGGGCAGAGGGTGTCCACAACAATCCTCCATCGCGTTCGGCTTTGAGTTTCGCGTTTGATCTCGCTCCAAGTCTTGCCGATTTTCTTCGCCATTTATGGTGGGGATAAAAATTAATACAATTTTAAGGATTTTCTGCTACCAAATAAAAAATAGTTTTAGCTTTTTAGTTTATTTCCATAAAAGATTATGCTTACATTTATTACTTACTTGAGAACAATAATTATGTATAAAGATACCTACAAATACAGTAATTTAATCTAAAAATAAATATGAAGAACAATAAAAAATATTCAATACATTGTCTAAACTATTTTCTCTTAACAGAATGAGTCCGGCGTTACTAACTACCTACTAATTATTAAGATTTCTAACATAAAATAAGTATAATATTTTTACAGTCGTAGCATTGAAGTCTTTTTCATCAATATATTAAATTAGACTTAAGTTAGGTAACTTAAAAATATATTGCACTAAATCAGGTTTACTACTAAAGTAACAAGTCAACGTCAATTTAAAACCGTTCGTTCTTATAAAGTTCGTGTAAGTTACAGGCTGCAAAAACTTACGCTTTTAAAATTATCTCTTCACGGGATTTGTTGCAACAATATCTATTTTAACGGTAAATAAAATATTTACCCTCCCGACGTTTCAGCTCGGTTGCACGAGTCATAAATATTTTATTTACCGTTAAAATAGATATTGTTGCAATAAATCCCGTGAAGTGATAATTTTATAGTAAAAATGCAACATAATAGTTTAAAATACTTACGCTTTTGTGTTGTACTCGTATAATACTGTCAGCGTAAACACACCCAAAGTAGTATTTGACGCTAATTGTACAAGCCACCAGACAAGTGAATACATTATGTTTCAGCTTTTTACAGCATGAATCAGTATCAACAATGTTTGAGTCCAGTTTTTTCACTCAAGTGAAGTCTCAAGACTCGGTTCCTGTGATACTGTGTCGGTAACGAAGGCATTTGCGCAGGTTTATTCCACTTTATTCACCTGGGTGTAGAAAGTTGACTCAATTCACCTGGAAAATTTGCACGAAATAGTTCCGAAGTGAAATGAGGACACTAAAAATCCTTTGCGCGGTTCTTAGGCTGAGTTGCATCACCTAACTTTGACCGTAACTACAACGCTAACCGGTGTTTTTTGTAGGGAGTTTTACAGATTTTTGACGTTTGTCAAAGTTAAAGTAAGATGGTGCAACCTGTACGGCTAGCACGAAAAACTTTCGAGTTCAAATCGTTTGCGTATTCGAATCGCCATCAAAAGATTTAGTACGAAAACTACAATAGCGAAATAAAAAGTGAACTTAGTATGAGATGTGGTATTTGTGAATCAAAATTGTCACGTTATCGTTTAATTCGAAGATTGAGTATCGAATTTTATCGAATACGCAAACGATTCGAAGACGAAAGTTGTTCATGCTAGAGGTACTGGCCTTAGTATGAGAAATGCGAACGCACTGAGACCGCCTGGGCGGGCGGCGGGCGCGGGAAGTGCTCTACTTCCGGTACGGTGAGCTTTAGTTGCTTCAGTGACGCACACGTGGGACATTTGCTGTTGTTTCGGGATAGGCGGCACTTGCAGCCGACCAGCGTGCGCCGGTGTACTGTCGACCCGTTGACACCAACCATTTCTGCGAAAGAGCACGTCGATAAATAAATTTTATTACGTTTATACATCGCACATTATAATGCCTTGTATACCTAAGCAATAATTAAGACGAGACAATTAATTTTGCATTGTCTGGAATCTCGGCATACGATCGGTTAAAAAGAGTGCCATCATACAGCGTGTACAGAAGATTAACTAAACTTATAAACCTCTTCTTGGAAAAAAGTAAAGTTTTTTTTAATTATTTGTGACTGCGTATTCTATTCATTGTGCGATAGGATCTATGTCTACTTTCTAACTGTGGATTGCCATGTAAATACAAATATTAATGGTCGTGAAATAGTAGTTTCACCAAAATTCGTCCGATAGTTTTTGCGTCAATTAGTAAAATAAACATCCATCCATCTGAACAAACTTTTACCTTCTCAATAATAATATTGCGGTGGATCTAAGGCGACAATAAATAAAAGGTTTCAGCACGCCCTTTTGACCGCTGGACTATTGTGGTGAACCCCTGCTTACACAAACCCAAGATATTTTCTGCTTTAGGAGAGTTTAACAGGAGTATTTGAACAACCACAAGTTAATTCAAGATTACTCACTGTCTAAAAATTTATATTCTTTAAAATATAGCCTTTAAACGTTATCCCCAAGCCAGGCAGATTAATTGTAACACCCAAACGACTGAAAGTATGAGACATTAATATCTCAGAATCACCATCTACAAAGCCACTTTGTTCAGGTTATTATTTAAATGTAAGACTGTCAACCTTATAGATTGTTTTAGTTCAGAAAAGTTATAAAAAAATTATGTAATACGGTATTTTTTAGTGTTTGATTGTTGCATAAAGTATTATAGATTTTTCAACTTAACTAACGCTATAGCGTGGAAAATAGATACCTAGATAAATAATCTGCCATTCGTTGAATTAGATAGGACTTTATCTTTTGTTTGTTATAGATAAATAAGAATGTGCAATTAATTAATTAGATACGAGTAGGAAACCTTTTCATTTATCTGTCTTCCGTCTCAAACGAGTACAATACAGCTTTATACAGCCTTTAGCGGAATAAAACATATGGATCGACTTTCGGGCATTTTAATGATGTGGTGGAGCGTTATATTTCACACGCTACGTAAATCAATCAGCATTTACCTACATCTCTCTATGAGGAACGGGAGCTCAAATGAATGAATCAGTAAGCTCTATAATTAGTGCCAATACAAATAACAGGCATTAATTTATTTTTAGGACGATTTCAAACTTGTTCATTACATTTGGATAATAAAATATAATTACCAATCATGGCCATGATAAAAATATATTATTATGTAAAAAGTTTCTAATTGGTCAAAATATGCGCTCCAAAATATACTAAAATAGTATCTATGTGGAATCTAAGTTTGAAAATCTTAGGTCCCCCATGACCTACAAGGCTGCAAGTTGTGCGGTCAAATCCTCAACTGGTCGATGCATAAAGACTTAAGAAGCTTCTTGTACTGTTAGACAGGATACTAGCTGAGATATTGCTCAATGTCGATAAGTTTAACACATTATAACTGTGGAAACTTTGCTGATTTCTGTCCTATGTTTCCTAAATATTGATAAATTAATACTTAAATAAACAATTGCAAGCGAGCGAGATGAGCAGTACCTCTAGTAGGAAAAACTTTCGAGTTCGTTTCGTTGCGTATTCAAAGTGTCATCGAAAAATTTTGTATGAAAAATTAAACAGCGCCCCCTAGGGCGGCTATAATGTAGGGGGCGCTGTTTAATTTTTCATACAAAATTTTTCGATGACACTTTGAATACGCAACGAAACGAACTCGAAAGTTTTTCCTACTAGAGGTACTGATGTACCGCTATCATTAAGGCCGGGTAGCAGAGAAAATGGCGAAAATGAGGTTTTCATTTTTCATTTTTGAGGTACTAAACAGTAAAATTAAAGGCTAAGATTTTTATTGGGCATAGTTGAGGATATTTTCTAGGGCTATTAACGGATGGAAACACGATTTGATGAAGTTGACTCGATAGAATAAATTCCCAAAGTTACCTCTATTCGTTTTCTAATTATGGTTTTATTTTTAAAATAAGCGATTTGAGATTCTAAATCTTTTACTAAACTAAAGTTCAGAAATAACTTGAGGGCTTTTAACGGATGGAATTATATATATTGCGTCTTATTTAGTTACTATGTTAAAAAATGTGGAAAAAATCGTCCATGACGGCTTGGACAATCTCAATCAGTCGCGCGGTGGCGCTTACGGAGGACGGACGCGTGTCAGTTTTTTGGACGTGACAGTTCGCGATTTGTCAATATTTTTGACAATGATGACTTTGATGAGTCACAGTATAATAATATCAGTGTTACTGGAGAAAGCTCGTGAATTGCAACAACTATAATTTATTATCCAAGCTCTAAATAATCGCTACTAAGAGTAACTGATCATAAAATGTTTTTCCAATCGCTCAAGCTCCCGAGGACCTAACGATAGGTCGGGTGACGTAATCTTGAAAATTCCGGAAGGTCGGGTGACGCCACGCCTCTTTGAACCGTGTTTACTTTGGCAGTTATATTTTATATTTATTCGATTCTAAAATATATTCCCAAAAAATCTGAAAGTTGTTTTAATTTGTATCACTTGGATATGATTTGTATTAGATAGTGCTGTGAGTGTGACGCTTGAACGGAAGGAAGTCAACCTAACCTAACCAACTGGTATTTCTATACTGTGTAGCCGCGAGAGCTCTTTGGCGCGCTGTCTTCGGCGAAGTATTGCGCGCGCAGATTTTGACAGCGCGAAATACCTACTTTAGCAGAAATACCAAGCCTTAAAAATATACTGAAAAAACTTTGTGTATTTTGTAAAACATCATTATTATCATCATCAAGTCATTTAGTCAGGAGCATGAACCCTACTCTATCCAGTGACAAGTGGACGATTTGGTCTACATTTCCCACACTACTGATCAGATGGGTTGGGTAGGTTTGATGTTCACGTATTTTACTTAGTTACCTTTTACGATATTCACGGAAAGAGTGGTAGTGGTCATAAACTACTCTGAATCACAAGGCATTAAGATTTTAGCGCAACAGAATTTCTATTCTATGCAGTTGTCTAGTAACATGTACGAGCAAACAATCTTCTCCGAAACCACATACAGTTACGCGTGCGAAACATGGCCCACGATTGCGGTCTATGTTACACGAGATTCAATTACGAGCCCCATCAGAATCGAGAACGCCTGCAAATAATGGTGTGGACAACGCATGGAGCTAAGGAATAATGGGCTCAAAGGTTCTGTACTAGTATGTAATAAGCTATTTACTGTTGGATCTCCCTCATTTCACGTTTGGTAGCAGACTGCAATCAAAGCCCTTTGAGCTCAGAACTTCCGAAGTTCAATCAACTGCGAGCACATACATTATTAGGTACTTTAACCAAAATCGCAAAAGTGCCGCAGAACAAAAAAAGCTGGAAATACTGCAAACGTTTGATTCTAATTCCTGGAAGTAGTCACTGAAAAGCTGAAGTGTCATGAACCTTTTTAGTAACATCAAGACACCCGTAGTCTGCTACTACAGACTTTTAGTTGGCCGATAGTTGGACGGGCTGTTGATTTGTATGAACATGTATGGAAGTGCTCACATTACACCGATTTGGTATTCAGCCGATTCCTCAAACAAATTGGAAGTCGACCAAACTATGGACCGACTAAAATTTGATAGTATGTGGGTTTTCTTAGATTAGTTATAGTCGAAGGTCATTTTACGAGGATACACAGTGATAACAGAGCAGAGGAACCTGAAGAAAACTGAAAGCGAAATATTTTACAACCCGTAAAGTCTTGGTTCAGATTTATGGAGATGCATGTCATCTTCACCGCTCGCTGCCACATAAAAAGAAGTCGAGGTATTGTCAATCAATAGGCCTAAGATGAGATTTGTGACGGGATTGTCATTTAAGAGGTGACAAAAATACAGCTAAAGAACTTTAGTATTATCCCTATCAGGTGGAAGGACGATCTGGTAAAGGTCGCGGAAAGAGCCAGGATGCGGGCAGCGCAGGACCGTTCATTGTGGAAAACTTTGGGGGAAGCCTTTGTCCAGCAGTGGACGTCATTTGGCTGAAACGAACGATGTTATCTGCGCTGTAGTATTTTTAGGCACGTAGATAGCCCATTGCTCTAGAATCATGAAATCTGAATTTGTAATATTTTTACTGTCATTCCGAAAAAGAAATAAGTTGTGTTATCTTTATGAATCATATAAGTTACAACAAAAATACATAACCAAATTATCCAATATTGGTCTATCTAACCCTCTTTGATGTGTTGTTTGTTTGTAATAGAATACGTCGAAACATTTCCTAGTCTATTTGCTCACGTCAATCGGTTATGAGTGAATCGCTATATTATTACCTGAGCTCGGAGGTAAAAATAAGCGCCCATTTTATTGCGTGAATCTTTCAATAGAAAATGGAAGAGGGGCTTGAATTTGAGCCTTGGTTAGGTACACAGGGGGTAAATGATTCCCAACATGACGCGCAACATTGACGCTGCAACGTTGTCTATTATCCTGCAACGAAATATAAATCAGTTTCATTCAGAAATGTAGAGCACGTGATGCTACCTCTGGGCTTCGACTTAACACTATTTTTGGGACACCCTTTGGGATGCCTTAATTCAGTCGGAACTGTTTTTATGGCAAATTAGTCAATACATTACAATCATTAATTTACATATTAATTAACACAATCGTAGATCTAAATAGGCGCGATTTTCAACAAACATTATGACTCGTCTGTTGCTATCAATACATTGACACTACGACATGTCTTATTTATACTTCACTTCCAAACTGATATGTAATAGTGCGTAACATCTAATATAATAATAATAATAATAATAAAAAATCTTTATTTGGCACGGGACAAAAAAATGACAATTACAAGTGTAAAAAAGTACATAAAGAAGAAAAAAATAAAATAAAATAAAAAACAGTAAAATAAACCAGCCA